AACTATGGTGTGATAACCCGTGTGGAAAATATTAACAATTATTTCGACTTTTCGACGTTTCGGTCTCTACATCGCCGCTCGTCCGTAGAGCGTACAAAAAAAAAAAAAAAATCGATGGTTAAATTGAGATCAAACGACGGCAACACGTGTGCGTCGGAAACCTAACCTACCCGTAAGTCCTGACGCACTCGCGTGTACCGCGACCGTAAACGTCCGTCGGTGTTGGTGGCGAACCGCGCACCGTGCTGCGCGAACAGTGACAGTATCGATGGAGTACGGCGGATTTTCGCTCGGACCAGAACACGAGACCTATCGTACAACTCAAACGGAAGTGTAACTTTAGCGTGACGTTATCGGACGTGTTGAACACGACGTTAGAGTCTTATGCGCATAGATACACATCCAGTCGCTGATCCAGGTCTCCGTCAGCGGAACACGGTCGAACGGGTCATATCGTCCCGGGACACGCCGGCGATACCCGCACGAGGCTGCGGCCGTTTTCTCATAACAGCGGCAGACGGGACGGGTAACACACCGCCAAACGATGGGACGACCGACGCGCGTCCGATAACTGTGGAAAAATATCCGTGCGCGCATACGCGACGTGACGTACGATGTGCATACGTGTACACGGTAGGAATGTCGCTGGAGCCACCGCCGCCACCACCTGCTGGACACAAAAGCTATGCACGCGACGACCGGCCAGGTTCCCGTGTGAATCGTGCGGGCGCCCGGGACGCAGACCGAGGAGCAGCGAGCGAGCGAGTGAGACGGCGGTTGCCGCGCACCGAGTGAGAAGGTCACATACCGCCACTACCCCACCGGCCACCGACCACGACGCTTTCTTTAGAACACCGCGTTTTCACACACACACACACACACACACACACGCGCGCGCGCATGTGCGCTGGGCGACTCGTACATACAACCCTCGCGTCGTTGGTGTGCATGTTCGTGTGCGTTCGTGCGTTAGCGTGTTAGCCCGCGTAAATGTGTGCGTGTGCGTAATGTTCTCACGGTCGCCGGTCGTGTTGTGCCCTCTTCTATACAACGTTAACGCGCGCACACCGCACATACTCACACACGCGCGCCCGTCGTCATACACCCCCTTGTCGTCGGCGCAACCAGTTTTGTCGTGGAGGTGGGGATGGCGGTTGCTCGATACCCGAACTCGAAAATAACATTGCGAGAACGAATGCACAACAACTGACACACACGCACGCGGACGCGGGCGAACGAGAGAAAAGGAAAAAAAAAGTAATGATATACACACGCACTCGCTCGTCGTACACCTTTTGAAAATTATGTTTTTCTCAAAACAAACGGCGGCGCGGCGATGCCGTTATACATCGCGACGGTCGTGGCGGCGCTCTATTCTTGTGTGTTTGCTCCGTGTGAGAGCGATCATAAAAGCGCGCGTTAACGTCATTGAAGGGTCGAATTGTCGAAGACTCTCACGCGCCTTCCCTTCCTCCCATTCTCTCTCACTCTCTCACCCTCACTTTGTTTTCTATCTTTCTCTTACCCTCTTCTCGCTCCCTCTCTCTCGTTGTGTATACGTACATGACCGCAAAAAGAATTTCAGTTGTTCTCCCACATCCCCTAACACTGATGCAGCGTATCTCGGCGACGTCGGCCTTCTCGTAACGACCTATCCCTCAGACCAACCGCCGGCAATATCTTATATCGCCTTCGGTGACAAGTCTCCTTGCCACGCGTGTGATCTATATTTACGACTCCGATTACAACCCACCAACAACCCCTTTGAGGCCCAACGCCGTACGGTGATCGAAATCGTTGTAACGTCGATTTTCACGTGATATTCGACCGTAATAACAATATTGTTAAGGTGTACGATAGCACGTGTATTCGTTATTACTTTTTTATTTTATTACGGCTCGTAACGACGTTCGTGAATGCAATTGACGAATGAGTAAAATATTTTAAAACGTGTGGGTGGAATTTTAGCACATATTTTACCATAAGTTTTCATTTGAAAATACACAATCATCGTAGGGTTATTACGTTTTACATGTATACCTTTAATCAAACTATAGGCAACCGATATTCGCATTGATCGTATAGAAATGTTAATGGCGTAAATCCCAGTGTTATATCCGTGCACATGACTTGTGGTTGACAACGGTCTATACAATTTTATGCTACCTATTCAAAAATGCGCAGCAATCATTCCAATCAAGAATTGAAGTACAACACATAATTATACAGATATTTTCTTCTTCTTAGCTTTTGCGGACCTTTTATGTCTATTGTCGTAACTGTCAAATGTCTCCATCCCTACCTATCCAATTTCTACGTATTATAACGATTGTAATCAAAAACTCTTTCAGCGAATTAACCCTTTTTTATTCAAACTAATATTATGATAAATATATTATTGATTATTGAATTAGGACTAATATTGAATTTGAGGAAATTCATGTACTGTGTATTTTCTGCAGTTTTTAAGAAACGCATAATTTTAGATAAATATATATATCAACGAAAAGATTATGTGTTCAGACGTTTAAACAAAAAATATGCATATTGATACAATGTATTTGATATTTACTATGTACGGCCATTCTGTCTTAGATACTAAATCCAGTGGCGCATTTACATGCACGTGCCAACAGCGTCAAATTTTTGAAGAATATACGTTTAACCCTATCTTATATTATTATATTTTTATATGTTTTTAGGTTTTCTGATATTGTAAAATATGTAACATATACTCCTAAATGAAAAATATTAGATAATAGCTTACCCCACCAACAGTTATCAAGATGGTTATTTCCATTATTTTTTATCGTAGTACTGAGTGACTAATTCAGTTACTCTACGTGGTATAATTAATCATTTGACTAATATATTATTCAAATATCTAAAACCGACTTCAGCTGATGAAAAATTAAATATTTTGGCATTATTATCAATAGAAAATGACATGTTAAAATAATTAATTTTTAAAGATTTAATCGACAATTTTGCTACTAGCAAATGTCCACTTAGACCGATATAATTAATAATTATCATATCCAAGTTTGAAGAATGTCTTTTATTTGTTTTCTGTAGTTATTAATAAAAAAATTTTAACTCTTAAGAAATTATGTTTTATTATTTAAATATAATATATTCCTTAATTAATTTATATTTTATAGTAAATAAATGATAACTTAGTCTAATATTTTAGTTATTGAGGGCTATTTAAAGGATTTTATATAGGCCTACAAGCGGGAAACATGTGAATATGCCCCTGATTGAATTCTCGTTTCAAGGGTTTATCATTATAACGGACTGAACTTAATTGAGACCAAAATACTCCACTTTTTTAATACAATATATTGACTTTTAAGATTAATGTATTTTTTACAGAAATATTTCATTCTCAGACGTATAATATATTAAACAATTAATTTCTACGTATGATTCGTTAAGAAAGTAAATAATTTTTATTACTTATTTATTAAATAAATATTTTCCTTGTGTATATATATTTATAAACAAAATAAATGTAATCAATTTTGATGATATTGTATGTTTATTTTACTTTTGCGTTATTGTAAGAAAAATGGAATACACATAATTTATTTGTGCATTACCCAAATGTAAATTTGTTCAATAACCTAGCGTAAAAATTACGCAGGGCTAATTTATAATTATGGATCAATATTTGGATGTTATTTACACCGTCATAAATATGTAATTCAATTTTACACGTCTATCAATTGTTATTTATAGCTATAAATTACGTTAATTAATGTTTCAATTAATTATATTGTTGCCCCATTTTACCATCCAATCGTATTTCATTAAGTGTTTTTTTTCTTGTGTAAAATTAAACAATTATTTATTTTTACAACAATTTTATAAAATTAAATTTAACTTTTTCGTTACATTTATTAGCTTAATAATTAATGTATTTATATATATATATATGTATAATAATAATAATAAAATAAATATATAATAATATAATAATAATACAAATAATTCAATTATTGTATTCACTAATATTCATTAACTATTAAACATTTTTAAGTAGTTACATCGTGTTATCAACTTTTTCAACTTTTTGAATATATAAAACATTCTGAAATACAATACAATATATATTCACATTTTTTTTTTAATCCAGACTACCATCACGAAGTTATGTGAAAATATTATTTTAAACTATACTAATAATTTTTTTTTTTTTATTAGACTAAAGTTGTTTCTTTTTTGCCTTTTAACAATCTGCAAACATTCATAGAATTAATTTATAATTTATTATTATAATTATAATAAGTTTAATGAGGCAATAATAGTATATATAATAGTATAACTATTTTATTCATTAACATATTAAGACGTATTACATCTAATATAGATATTATGTTATAATTATTATATATTATTGGTGGAGTTTAAACGCCTTCGATAACGTTTATATTTTTAGAAAATTAAAATTTTTGCATATTTTTTAAGCAGATACCTATGTTTATTCATATGGATTTTGACGTTTTAATTCACATAGATAGTTGTTAAAATGGTGGGTTGAGCTACTTTAATTGAAACCCATTTACATTTATTCATATTTTATCGAGGAAGGGCTTTCAAAGGGATACAAGTTTATTATATTTTAATATTTATAATCACTTATTATTTAAAAACCGTTAAATAAAAACTTTAACGATTCGATAAATCCCAATTGAAATGTTATAGACAAACTTGCCAGCAGTTCGATAAAATTAAAGAAAGGCTAAATTTTATCAGCTTATCCCCGATATGATTTCTATGAATTATAATATCCGGTTGGATTCAAAATAGTTTTTTTTACAGTTAGGCTAGGTTCACATATACGGGCGTCCACGTGAACCTAGCCTAAGTATTTTGGAATACTAATTATTAATTATATTATCATGAACAAATCATATTCAGTGTTAAAATTGATTTTTTAAGACATACACGTGGATAATCAAATAAATGGAAAATAATTTGTTGGTATTTTATTTTAGAATACAAACAGAACAAGTTGTCACACATTATAAATGATTCCTTCGAAAATGGTTGTGCTCCGCATAGTTAACTTTTTGAATATCCACGCCGTGACGGATTCCCTCTAATTTCAACAGCAGTAAGTATTATCTTATCATTTCGTATTATTACTTTTGTACAAGTATTTAAAATGAGATAAAGAATATGATTTATTTTTCAATGAACAATTATTAGACGAGACTCAAGAGCTTGCTTGTTCTGAGTAATAGAATCTCTAATCTACGTGTGACGTGTCGCCCATCCGGATACTGTACTATAGTTGAATAATAAATGGTAACCTCCTGACGAGTGCGTGTTTAAATTTTTTTTTTTCAATCCTTATTTTTCAAATGTTGGCCCCCTTGGTATTTGTTGTCAACCGGGAGGTGACAAAGTTTATTTTTACACTAGTTTCACGCCTACGCGATTGGAGAACGTTTTTCTATAACCCTTAAACAGGGCTGTGTTTATTTTTAACCACTAAATGCGTCGGCTGAAAGCTTTAAACAGTACACGAATACAGTTTTCCCCATTTATGAGACATTGTTGAAAAAATGACAACAGATAAATTAAATGTTACCGTATTTGTGCAGAATTTTTTGAAGTGTGTACTCAGTGGCGTACTTATATGCAGACACTATCGGCACGTGCCTACAACGGCAATTGTTGAAGATTATACGTTTTACGGTATTACATATTATTATATTTATATATGTTTTTAGGTTTTCTGACATTGTAAGACATGTTGTATATACTCCTAAATGAAAAAATATTAGACAATACCTTACCAACAGTTATCAAGATAGCTATTTTCATATTTTTTTATCGTCGTTTATATGAATATATATATATAAGATTCAGGAATATTAATGAAAGAAATCGTTATCAATGATTTTAAAAAATAAAATATCTAGAAATAAATAATTATTCTGAATTCAGTCGCTGTTCACGTAAATCTTTTCTACGTAAATCTTTTTCCCTTTATTTTATTTACTTATATTTATTGATTATTTTTACTATTCTTCTTCTTTTTTTTTTTTTTTTTTTTGAAGAGTAGAAAATGGTTAAGCAGTGACCACCATAAATAATTTTCCAACTAAAAAGTAATAATTTAAAACAATTTTTGGATCAAATACAAATTGACTGATTTTTTAAATATAAAGCTTCTACTTTTTGTAGCACTAACAGTTCTATAGTGACTAATATTGAGGGGTAGAAGTGACTAATTCAAACCGACTTAGTAGTACTGTGTGACTAATTTAGTTACTCTACGTGGTATAATTAGTCATTTAACTAATATTTTATTCAAATATCTAAAACTAACTTAAGCTGTTGAAAAATTAAACATTTTGGCATTGTTATCAATAGAGAATGACATGTTAAAATAATAATTATTTTTAAAGATTTAATCGACAATTTTGCTACTAGCAAATTTCCACTTAGACCGATATAATTAATAATTATTATATCCAAGTTTAAAGAATGTATTTTATCTGTTTTCTGTAGTTATTAATTAAAAAAAATGTTAACTCTTAAGAAATTATGTTTTATTATTTAAATCAAAATTGTTACTTAATTAATTTATATTTTATAGTAAATAAATTGTAACTTAATCTAATATTTTAGTTATTGAGGACGGTAATTTTTCACAAGCCTACAAGCGGAAAACATGTTAATACGCTTCTGCTTGTACTCAATGTCGCTATACGAAATCTCTGTCGTTTCTGAATGAGTTAAAATGTAGTTGATAATAATGTACGCATGAAAACATGATTACAAAGTTTATTATTCAGTTGATTGTTTTCTAACACAATACTTAAATAAAGTAATTTGTAATGTGTACTTGTAAAAGTATTCAGTAGGCAGTACGTTCTTCTGATGGACAATTTAATTGTACCTACTTACTTTTTTTTTATTATTGAATAATTTTTTGACTATAGGGATTTTTTTAACAATTTGTGTGACACGACGAATGATAAATAATTAAAGCTGAAAAGAAATAATTTTGTATTAGGTCATTGTTTAGTATTTATTTTATATAATATTATAAATAAAATATATTTTCAGAATAAAAAATAGAGGCCGAACCCAGTTATATTATACAGTTTAATTCGCGATAGTTATATTTTAAAATTGCTTGCAATTGATTATAAATTGTTTTTACTTATAAACGTATGAACTAGTAATAGTAATTTCATGTTTATACATAAATATGTGAAAAAATCAACTTTTTTGTCGCTTCGTGTAGCTTTTTAGAGTTTTTGTAGGCGTGTGATTACTTCTCGAAAAAAACACGTTTCACTTACAAACAGACCTCCCTAGTTGTTTTCTTGTAAATGACGACAGCAAACGATTGTGTCATATGAGTCCGTCTGGAATTACTACTTGAAAAAACATTTGACATTTGATAAAATACATAGGTAAACAAAAAATGATTGCGTTGACCGTTCTTTAATCATTCTATATGATTTGAGAAGTAAAAATATATACTGGATATAATTGAATGGTCAAATTTAACATTACGAAAAAAATGTTCTTTCTGATATATTAATAGATATATCAAAGTTTGAGAAACGCTGTATTAATCGATTTGTGGATTTTTTTTTTTTTTTTTTTGTTATAATTTTGACATTAACTGAGTATATTTTCTTTTTATAACAAGAAAGTGTTCAAATTTACCAACAGATCATACTTCTCATTAAAACGGCTAACGTAAACTACACCTGTTGTTCACCTATTAATATAGGGCATTAAAGTATGTATATATACTACATGCAGCCGTCCCGGTGTCTGTTATAATATGCGCATGGTTTTAGTGTTAAAGTTTATATTATATAATATATTATGCGCTATACTATGTGTATATATTATTATCCCTATATAAATTAGGCTACCCTCCTAGAAATTTCAGATTTCTGAGAACAGTAATTTTGAATTTATCCCACGCTATTGTAAAAAAAAATTCGGTTTTCATTCGAGTTTGTTGACCCCAAAGACGTCGGTTAAAGCCATGGGAAAATATTGATACTTTCCCGTCCTTGTCGTGTTCAAAACACTTTAATCCATTGCGCAGGTGCGTCTTGGGGTAGAAGGTCAGACAGTGCGAAAATACCGGAGGTTGTACCCTTCATCCCCTTCTGCGTTCTATTTACCTAAAGGTATATGTAAAGGCATTATACCTAAAATACAAACGCACATAGACACGCAGTATTTTAAACGAGAGTTCAACTAGACGACAAACAAAATGCTAAAAACGAAATATTAATAATTTTAAAAATTGTTAATAATTCAGTTGTATGAATTTCAAAGTTTCGAACCTTAATAAACAATGAACTTGAAAAAGTTTAAGTTTTTTTGATTATAATAATATTTTTATTATTACCATATATACATAAGCAATATATTACGAATATGTATAAATATATAAATATATAAATGTAATAATTATATTATATGATATTTATATGATACATATAATAGAGCTACAAATGTATTATATAAAATTAGTAGGCAAATATTTATGCTAACCACTAAATTCAAATCTGTTTTAATAAATAATTATTTAATATTTGAGTAATAGGTCACTAAAATGTGTGTTAATTGTTTAGATACATTTCTCTAACTATTGATAACAATTTTAGTTAATAAGAGAGAATGAAGAATTTTAAAATCTGAAAATTATTTATAGACCATATAGATTGTATATATTATAATATTAAGAAAAAAAATATTATTTTATTTAAAATAAATATAACTTATATGAGTACAGTGGCGTAGCCAAGGGGGGGATAATGGGGCTATAGCCCCCCCATGGGCCGTATTTATATGTATAATGTATCTTGACTATTTAATTGAATCAATGGATGCTCGTTTTAATTAAAGGCTTATTGATGTTATATTATCTTATTTATGTTATTTATGTTATTGAAGGACTTATTTCGGCCAATTTAAATATGTATGACGATAAAAATATTATAAAAGCTGCTAAAATATATGCCCAAGATCTCCATGATGATACCTCATCTACAATCAGAGCTGACCTGTTCATATAGAGGCAAGAATGGAGTCAAAAGACTATTCCAAAACCGAATTCTGCTCTTGATTCACTCTCTCATCGCACCAATCTTCGACCTAACATTAAAATACTTTTACAATTATTCGCCACGTTACCAGTTACCTCTTTTACTCCGGAAAGAACGTTTTCAGCACTTAATCGCTTAAAAAATTTTTTAAGAAGCACCATGTCGGAAAACAGACTGAATGGGTTAGCTATGGCTAATATAAATAAAAAAGAGCAATTCGATGAAAGTGAAATAATAACTGAATTTGCCAGAAATTCGCCTAAGAGAATGCAGCTGTCAGAGTGGAGCAAGTAACTGAATACTGAAACCAAAATTATTATTATTATTATAAACTATATGTTAATAAATATTTTTAAAACTATACTAAAATGCTTGAATTACGTTTAGAAACTTGGTGGTAGATGATGGGGGGGGGAGGGTTAAGGGTGAATTCTCATATCCTCTATTACCTTACCTATCCAAAAAAGTGGTTAGCCCCCCCCCCATTTAAAAATCCTGGCTACGCCTCTGTATGAGTATATACCGTAAGTAAATAATACAAATATTATAATTTTTCTATCAAAAATCAATGTAATCCATAAAAAAATGTCTTTGTATTCATATCAAAAATAAATTCATAATTAACAAAGTAAAAAACATTCAATATATCAACATACTATTATTAAATATATTTATTTTAATTATTCATTATGTAATTAATATAACAAGTACCTGCCAAATGAATAATAATAACAAAAGTTTAATAAGTACTTGTAATTTGTATCTCATATTTCAATCTACATTATATAATTACAAAATCGTAATACTTTTAATTTTAAATTAAGTGTTGTAACATCCAAGTATTGTTTGTTAATCCAATTATCCGATCATTTTTTGACTAATTGCATGTTAAAACATTTGGCAATAAACAAAGAAATGTTTAAGTTATACTCATGCATTGGCACATTTATATATAATCCACACTGTTATAAAATTAAATTACAATAATTATAATGAAATTAAATCGTGGGTAACTGTAAAACTCTAATACCATAATAGTACAATTTTCAACAAGTTAAAAGCTAATAATCCTAAGAATAATTTTATTTATCAATCGATCAGTATTATCAACTAAACAATTAACAAATTGCATATTCTATGTATCAGAAAAAATTTAATGCCAACAGTAACATAAGACATTGGACTGATGATGAGTTATTCATT